CGATGATCACCAGACATTTGTCGCCATGTTTGATTTGCAAACGGAACCAAAGCGAATCAAAAGCGAACCTCTGGGTAATTAATGTGTTTGAAATGCAGGTCACTGCGATGGTACAAAAGGACGCCGCATCCCCTACTTGTTTGATCATTTTGTAGGACGGACATGTCAGGCAAGGAGATCTCGGCGTCAGTGATTTGGTCTTTCAGCCAGGCTTCGGTTATCATGATCATGTCCCATGGTGTCGATGCTTGGCTACAATGAAGCTCAGAAAACTTGTGAAAAAGTCTTGTGCATTAGTATAAAAACAGGATAGCGTCTCTAATGTCAGAAACCTGGCTGGAGGCGTGGGTGCCAGGTGAGACTTTAAACCGACCTTAGTGATGTCGGCAACTAATTGTCTTTGCCGGAGAAGTTGCTGGCAGGAAAACAACCTCAGCCTCGTCCGTTGTATGTACCGTCACACGTAGGAGCCGTGGTTTAGCGTAGTGAGGTAAGTTTGGGTGCCGTACAATGCGCACCATGCCGGTCGACTTGGCGTGGACGCGTATTAGGCGGCGCAAGAAGTCCTGCTGTTCTCTGTAGTCCAGCGACCTACCTTTTATGGAGTTTGTAGAAGATTCAGGAAGGTCGAAACATTCGATTGTCAGTGAATCATGCGCTTGTCTAAAGCTGGCCGATTTGAGAGAGGCTGTAGTCTGAGTTTTTGATGATGTGATTTGTTCACGTGTCGTACTTTCGGCACCTTGTGTTTTAGCGTCTGGCAAAGACTATGGTGTTACTACTTGTGCGTGCGCAGATGAAACGGTGGCGTAGGAAGTCACGCCTTCGGCGGTCAAGAATTGGTTCCGGTGTGCCGGTGTAGAATAGGCCACAGATTTGCTGTCAGACGTCAGCTCTAGAGCTGAGGTAGGAATCGTCAGAGTACGTGGAACTCAGCTGTTGGTCCGATTGCAGCTGTCGACGTGTTTGACTTCATATTGTTAACCTTATTCCAGGTTTGGCCACCATATGTGGCTGTGGATGCAAGAGACTAGTGTTCGACTGCTTGATTCCTAATACGGATAGAAACTGATGTGCGCCGAGCTATCGCGTGTTTCAATTGACTGCCGACTGTAGTTGTCATATTGACTGCCAGAGCCCCCGATTGCATTCAACTTACGATCCGCCACTGTGGAATGAGAAGAAGGCAATGGAAAAAAATGACGCTGGTGATTCTGGGGAAATGAGTCACGTACGCATCTTTCGGTTCGAGCCTGCCACTCTTTCCTGATGCACCATCTCCTCCAGAGAAGCAAACCTAGCGTTCGTCCGCTGTTCTGTTTTCATTAGTAACCAGTTGTATTTATGGGGTAGTATGGCATGACCAACCATGTGGGACAACCCCAAAAGGCACCGGGCGAGCTGTTCCGCTCTCTCATCTGTCGTTGAGAAAGATTATCGCACTTCGGATGGTAGTGTTTAAACAGAACGCGCAATCTATCCCTGCTTTCACTAGACGCTTACATTTGGCATCGTTTCATATGTGTTTCATTGAAACCTCGTTTGGATTCACGTTTATGAACCCACAGCTATTTCCCGTAGTGTCAATAACCGCCGTGTTGGCAGTTGATCGGGGTAGCAAGGTGACGAGAAGGCTAGATGAGAGAGTTGCAAGTGACAGATGTAGAGAAAAAGCACGCCTAGTTGCACCTTGTGTGTAGATGCAAGGAAACAATAGATCGCGACGAATGCAAATCAGTTTTAATTCCATGTTGTTGGTTTGGCAGTAATTTGTTGCCAATTCAAGGTCAGTAGGTGGGGACAGCTGGATGTGTCACGTTGCGTTAATCAATCGGATGGATGCGGTCACTTCATTTCTTCGTCATACTCTGCCCTGTGGGGTAAGAGGCAACGAGATAAAACCGACCTGTCCGGACTTAAAACGGCAGCCCAGGTGACCTAAGGGTGTGATAAAATGATTGCTTACCGTATTTGCAGTAGTCAATTTGCTATCGGAAAACCGGGCGTTGTGGATTTGGCGTGTAGTGTTTGGGCCTGAGTGATACGCTCTGCTGTGCTCGTTTCTAGTGCAGCCATTTTGTACTCAATATATCATCGAGCACTTATGCTAGCTTTTCATACTTCTGGGACATGGCAGTTACGGTCTTAACTAATGGGAGGTTATTACACTTCACGCAGAAACATAATGAGTCAGGCCAGATGCTGAGCAGCCGGAACTTGCTCAGTTTCAGGTTTCCGCATTTGGCATGGAAACGAGTGGAGCAGTTAGAACATGAATACTTACTTTAAGGAGCTTATTGTACGTTCCACAGACGCCTTTAGGCACAGCGGAACGGCGCCGCATTCATGATTAACGCCACCTGTGAGCAAGCGCAGGCTGCGCAAGGAGCAGCCAATGATCTTAGACATCGACTTGCTTGTATTTTCCGGAGCGCAATGTTATCGCATATCATACTCACACAGATCATGTCATCCTGAGGACTTGTCACAGCCCATTCAATGCTACGGAGGTGTTAAAGAAAACTGATACCAGTACCCCAACATAGTTCACCTGGTTTGAACAACATCCGCCATAAGTTATTGAAGGTAGCCGGCAAGAACTTGGCAGAATCGTTATCTCGGCTTTTCCAGCTTTTTCTAGAGATTTAGATTCCAGCTGGGAGGAAGCGTGAAATAATAGCTCAAATTTACAAGGGAGAAATTGTGCTATGCCCACAAACTACCGCCCGCTTACTCTTCTTCTGGTGCTTGTTAAATTTATTGAATCTATTATTGCCGAAGCACTCATAGGACATTTGGAAATAGGCAATACCATATTGCAGAAGCAGCAAGGCTTCGGCCGAAAATATTCATAATTTGGTTAGCCCCTGGCTGCTGGACGGAATGTATCGATGCTGCAGAAGAAGTTGATGCTGTTCACCTTCGTCGAAGGGATTCGATCCCCTAGATCACCGAATTCTTCTTTACTAGGTTTAGAGCTATGGGACCTGATACCGGATCATGAGCTGGATACATGCATCGCTGCTACAACGCCGCTTGAATATACGAGCTCGCAGCGCACTGTCCGATCCGATAGAGGTGCATTTTGTTGTCCCGCACGCTGGGTACTAGGACTAAGGCTATTCCTAGTGGTCGTGAACGACCTGGCCGGAGCGTTAGTGTAACGGTTTCTACTCTTTGCAGACGACTACAAGATTTGGTGGACATTCAGTAGAGTAGATTACAAGGTATCATTGCAAGGTGATCTCCACAGTACTCACAAGTGTTCATGCCCGAATTTAACCATAACATTGAGCATATGCCACTAAAGCACAGAGTAATATCCATTGGGATAGCACGTTGTGCAGCGCACTCCAAGTGAAAATGATCTTGGTTGCTCGTACAGGAAGAGATAGGAAACCCTAAACAAACTGAGAAAGCAGTGAATAAAGCAAACCAACATTTGGGCCCGTTGCATTGCGCGTTTAGTCGGTTTGATCCCAGCAGCTTTTTGAAAATTCGCAACGTTTACTTTGTCACATGTAGAATACGCGATGCAGGTGTGGCATCCCTGACAAAAACATGACCTCACTGCTCTTGCGAATGCAAAACAGTGGGCAACTGAAAATATTAAGGGTTTGCTTCATCCCTCTTACCAGTTTAGGTCAGAGGTTCTAGGAGTGTTCAGTAGACAATGTCGTCGTCTGCGAGGTGACCTCATATCGGGGTATCAGATCATCAAAGATCCAAACCACCCATGGCGACATTTATTTATACCTAGCCACAAAATCGCACCGGCATACCATATAGCGGGCTGAAACGCCACCGGAACACTTTCTCCATTCTTGTATCTCAGTCGTGGAACTTAATTCCACATTCTGTCATCTCCGCTCCTATGTTACTTGAATACGAACTTCGACTTCATGAGGCACTACACCACTTTCATATAATGATCTGACCCAAATTTCTGGGACACGGGACAATGTAAACACTGTCTGTACATGTTGAAATCCCGATGAACCCAACGATAGATATTGCCTCACGGAAATTATTAAACATTTTCTTTCTTATCCGTGACAAGTTCATTGTTTATTTTGTCCACTGTGTCTTGTCGGAAGCGTCTATTACCGAATACGCGGTTTTCATCGGGCCATCCTGGTAGTTTGGTTAAGCTCTAGGGTTTTGTCTGTAGTGAGCCGTTGTTTTGTTAACCAACGCTGGGACCCACATGGGCTAAACTACACACGTATTGCTGTGTTTGTATAATGCGCCAGAAGTGCATCTAAAAGAATGGACCGAGTGGGCACGTGTGGAACACGCGTAAACTAGCCATCAAACGGTGAGGTTTATCTAAAATACTACATCCTGTGACTTGACTTCACTCTGGTTACATCATTTGCCAAACACGGCTTGGTGTTACCCAACCACACAGTTGGATGTCAAGAGTGTGCGCGGTTTCGGTAGTGGGGTCCAACGCACCTTGTGTGACCGATCACTAGATCATTGACACCTGCGAGCAATGCTTGGAACGACATATAAGAATTCAATGCTGGGTATTGCAGTACCCGCTGTTTCTCCTGGATCTGTGGCGTAGCGAGCAAATCGTTGATAGCTTTAACAGTACGTACCGGGTAGCAGCCTCAGCTCCGGCCACTTCTATAGGGAGGGTCCAAACAAAGATGAGTCGGTTATTGTAGTGCAGTGGTAAACGCGAACGGCATCAAAAACTCTCCTGACCGTAATTGGGTTAACGTAGTTTAACTCAGCCGTGGCAAAGAAGCAACACGTGCAATATGGACTCCAGCACCGGGGCACTCTTGGAATATAATTGTTGGCACTTGTTTCCTGGTTCGCCAGAAACAAGAAGACTAGAACGCATTCAGTTTAGTGCCATTACAGAAAAATAGGTATGCGGCGACTTTCATTTTTGCCAATGTTTGAGTTCTATTATTATCTAAAGTATCATGTAAAATTCTCATCTCCAACTAATATGTTTACCGATAAACACCTTCACTTTTCAGAGGATTTACACGTTAGCGCTCAAACTCGCCCTCAACCCCTTAGCGACACGATCGGATATCGACTATTTAGTAGACACACATACCCGTTGCTCGCAGGTAAGTGAAATTTGTGCATGCTGTCGACGGGTCAGTTTGTTTCGGTTGCCTAATGATCCCTGGCTGACATCAAGACTGGGAGTTAGTTTTGCTTTCACTTCATGCCTGTGAAGTTGTCCGTCTCTTTTAATTTGTAGTTACTTATAGTTGAACAGCTAGTTCCGTTCACACCGATGAGTAACATTTAGACGCGCCGCGAATGGTGACCAGCTACAGGTGCGCGCGCAACAACAAAAGTAGTGACCCGTTGAGAGTCTGCGACCTGATAAACAGTTAATGGGCGTTTCGGTACGTAAAGGATCAGCTACCTAGCATATATATATATATATATATATATATATATATATATATATATATAATAAACAATCTGTGGTACAGATATTGCGCCATCGGAATCATGGCTGAATAGGAAAACAATATGAATAATAAGAAAAGAGTAACAACAACAAAAGCTTTTTTGTTTAGTTTACCACTCACTTACTCTAGTTTACGCACACCTCCGAATGACAATGCCACAAAGAGAAAGGTAAGGAGCAATGACTATTTAGTGACCAGACATGACCGCCGCGACACAGTACCGTCACCGAATATTGAGGCTTGTTATAGGAAGACCGCATGCAAGGCGAAAACCCATTACGTCATCAGGTACCGCCTCTGCTTGTTCGACAGACCAAGATCTGTTAGTCACATAATAAACCACCAAAAGCAGTCACTAACATTTGCAAACTAGAGACGCGCTCGATGACATACACCTTCACCTCCTCAGGGACTCCCAGTGATTGTTCTTGAGGCCCAAGGAATCCGTCCAAACATCTGACAGCGTCTGAAAATACGGATTGTAATTTTACTTATCTTTCACCGACCCAACCCTCACCACAGTCATAAAGACACAAGCGCAACACGCGTATGGAAAGTTCAGGCCAGATCAGTAAATCGATGATGTCTACAAGATGTCCTTTGGCTCTTTTCGCATAGGGTAAATAGGGCTGATAACTGCCATTCAGATGACAATGTCTCCTTGCACAGATCAGTGTCCAAGAAAGTGACTAAGATAGTTCTCGGTGAAGCGTCACCGTTATCCAGCACCAAGGAATAAAGGTCCTCGGGACATAGCACCAGTTCGTGACCGATCTCGCCAATGGTGGAAGTCTTTAAGTCAGCTCTTCGGTTGGGTTTGGGTAATATTTTCGTGGGCAAAAGAACGACGGACGCGCAACATTTTCACCTTAATGTTCGGTCCGGGATCCAGCCACTCAACTTATACTGGCTTGCAGTGACCTGAAGGTTGTCCCGATTGATTGTGTGAATTGTACTAAAATTATAGTTTTCTCATGTATTAGGGATTTAACTGGTTTGCTTGTTTGAAGAATACTCACCCTTGTTTAAGTCACACACCCACGCGTCCGCTGCTCTCCCTCGGAAGAGACCGGCCATCAGCGTACACAGCATCCGTTTATACAATTTCTAACTAGCTCACTTCCGGTGATTGGTATTAAGACTTAACCGGTTTAGCGACCTTCCAATAAGCCTTTGTTATAGCTTCTTTCTATGTGTTTCCGCTCGTCTACGGATGGTAGTTTGTCTGATTATCTGATAACTGGTGCACGAACGAGCCGTTATAAGCTTACTCATGGGAAACTTTCCTGGATCACACGTAAACCGAGTTCAAGCGGCTTTGAGCTATTCCGCTCTCACCTGCTTTTTCCATCTCACTTACCTTTGTCATCCAACAATGTCCTTGTGTATTGGGAGATATTGAGCCAGGAGATTCTGAGCCTAGAAAGTAGTTATCCGAGGAGAGTATCTTCCGTGCTAATAGAATTCTTAGAAAACAAAGTAAACAGACTTGGTCTTGCTATATAATTCACGAGTTTTGGAGGCAATTTCAATATGTATTAGCCTCGTTAATCCCGTCCATTAGCCATGAGTAGTTTTACTATTATGGTTGACATGTTCATCCCCCCAAATTTCGATTGCATTTGGATATCATTCAGTCTCTATATTGAACGATTAACAGAAATCATGGAATGTAACTCTAAGCTGTCACCCAAGGTTACGAAGTCGAACTGTGCGTGTCTCAGACCAAGTGACAATCTTGTCGAGTAGTACATGCAGTTAATGATGATGATGATGTCAACCTAAACACAGCTCATCCCACCTTTCGGTGGTACGCACGTAACTCGATGTAAATACTGGGAATGTCGTGCTATCAGCATAGACTTTGTGGTTGCTATGCGTTTGATAGCAGTTGCCACCGTCACCACGGCAACTGGTAACCCAGAAACGGCCTCTTGGATTTTGTACCTACTCTGGTAAAGGACCGATTCGAGCTTGCACTCCACCAAACCATCGTAACGTCAATAATTTTGACCCTTCTAAGCAGCAAACTCCTCACAAGCAGTGTAGAAGTATGTCGAAAATGTAAGCAGACGCTCTCCAACCTGTCAGGGCACCGAAGTCGATTCACGCACGTACGGTTGTTTGCCATGATGCAACCAACGACTAGAGCCGGAAACGACTTCGTAGCTGTAAGTTGCATCAGGCATCATATCAGAAATACTTGAAACTCGTAAAATGTTAGCGTCGTGCTTCGAACCAGAGTCTACTAAGTATGTGTGCGATATGGCCCTGAAACTTCTTCACATTCACACAGGAAAGATAGTGTAGTCATTATCAGCATCACCAGTTAAGTGCTCAGATAACGTGCGTTCATTGAACTACGCAAAGCGGAATCGTATCCCAGCTATGCGAGACAATTCGACACATATGTTCATGTGGTCTTTTCACCAGAAGTCTGCTGTAGACCGATTTATTTGAGGTATTTTATAATATTTTTCTTAACTTAAAAGATTACAGGGCCACAACTCTTATCCAATTCCATTGATCTTTCAGTGTTACAAGATTTACACGATTTCTTGAATACTACCTTAAATTCAGGAAGTGCTAAGTAAAACACTTAAAAGTCGAAGCGTCTGAAATCTTGAAAGTTTAAGAGGTAAACCGATTTTTACATGTGGGTATTATGACATATAATTCCCACTTGTTTCTAGATTTATTCCGAGATATTGACAAATTAGCTTGCTAGTTAGCAAGTCTATCCTGTTCTGTTCCTACTGAGTCACTACTGCCGTATGAGAAATGTAGACCTCACCGCTGTCATGCGGAAGAGTGCATTAAACTAGGAACCGTAATGCTACATCAAATTCACTTGAATCTAACTGTGGATCGATACGAGAGTCCCATTAGGCAACTGGTTCCAGGAAACTTCAGGATCACATTGCCATCACTACACTTGTGGTAGTTCGGCAGGGCCGCACTCGATGTACACGACTGCCCCAATAAGTTATCACTTGGTCGAATGTAGACTGCAGTTGCTGAGCGAATTCCTATCGGTTACTATCATTAACGTCCATATGACTCCGTACAATCCATCGCCATTGCTCGACGCTATGGCGGAATCTAGAATGCTTTACCTAGCTTGTTGATATCCACTTCAACGAGAATATCGCAGCATCTATCATGATAAGTTAACTCACTCGTCGCAGCGGCTCACAAGCGCGACAATCTAAGAACCATTCCGGAAAAGCACTAAACTATCATTGCGAATAAAGTTCATTTAATTTCTATGAAAAGTGGGGTTCTCTCAGCGGCACACACCAACTCCTCACAGAGACATGCTTTGTCGTAAACAATAAAACCAATGTCCCGATAGTCATCAGACTGTGACATTGATTGAGAAATAATAAGGGATATACTCTAACCGCCATGCTTTCATCGGATTTCGCAAACGAGAATCTGTAAGTTCGATAAAAGCACATCACGGGCGATTCATCTGAGGGAGACGGAGTTCCCTCATAGCTATCTTAGTCGCTATAATAACGACGAGTGCATTGCGCTTTGTGGGTTCTTGAAGCAGCTCTGTGGAATGTGTACTTGAGGTTGGCTACATACCGTAGATGCACACAGACTCGGTGCTGAATTCAGCTTCTTGACACATCCTCTCTGCGAGTCTTCACTAGTTCAGGCTCTGTATTCTGTAATTGCACTGATATTTACATGGAATCCAAAGGATCGAGGCCAAATAGGGCTAAATGACCAGACAGTGCTACTGGACAATATTAGTTATCGCTTTTAGCAGCGGATATCGTTCCGGACATCTGGCTACCAGCCGGAAGGACATGTGCTTGAATTTAGCCTCCATTCCGCACGATCGTATATACTTCTGAGTTGCTGGGCCTCCAGAAATTCACATGTCTCGCAAACATTCACAACCATTCATCCTGATTCTGTCTACCGACAGGCCTTAGGACGTTAGCATTCCGGATAAAATTTCTTGCTGCACCTTATACATATAGCCCGTGTATGGGGTAAAAGGTGCGGGAACATGTGGTTCCTGTTGTTAGACTAATCAAACATTTCCAGAGGCCATGATTGCGTGATATTTCTCAGGTTGTTTATTAGCATCATCAATACATTTTAGCTGATGGTGAGAAACACATCTCAGGTTGCTAGCTGAGTATAGTACAGGTTGATGAATGACTACTTGGGAAGCAGTCTAAACTCCACCCGATTCACTGGTAAACAGCCTTCTATGCTCAGTGCAGATGGTAATAATTTAGAAGAGTAATATTAGCCCTATATTTTTCCGTTTTCTCTGCATAGTGAATGAACCTCTAAAGGGTCCACATTTGTCGTATGGAAATGTGACGACGAGGGTTTGTAATCTGACCGTTGAAGTATCCTTGATTATTCAGCGTGCAGTTGTTCGATATGAGCGTTTGCACTCAGGTCTTCTCCATGATGTAGTGCAAAAATTTTGTCATTCTGTTGACAAATTGCTAATTGCTGCATGCAGCTTCCCCTAGACTTCGGGTGATCGAATCATACCAAGTTCATCCGAAAAGCATCTCATTGTCCTTTTGTTCTAAGCCTATCTTGATCTCACACGTTTGCATAACGTATCCTGACCTACGGCAATCTTTTTACGCTTTAAGCCAAAA